CACACAAACACACACACACACACAAACACACACAAACACACACACACAAACACACATACACATACAAACACACACACATCCACACACACACACACACACACACACACACACACACACACAAAACATACACAAACACACACACAAACACGCACACACACAATCACCAACAATCAATCACCTACAATCAATCATCAACAATCATTCACCAACAATTACCAACAATCAATCCCCAACTATCAATCACCAACAATCAATCACCAACAATCACCAACAATCAATCCCCAACAGTCAATCACCAACAATCACCAACAATCAATCCCCAACAATCAATCACCAACAATCACCAACAATCAATCCCCAACAATCATTCACCAACAATCAATCACCAACAATCAATTCCCAACAATCATTCACCAACAATCATTCACCAACAATCACCAACAACCAATCACCAACAACCAATCACCAACAAGCATTCACCAGCAATCATTCACCAACAATCATTCACCTGTTCAACAAGTGCCAGTTCTGCATCTTTTGCGGTGTGGAGCTGGCCGAGGTGTAGTTGTGGATGTCGATCATTTTGGGCAGATAGTGTTTGACCACTTCCGCAGCCAGAACTGAAAGAAACAGTCACGTGGTACAGTCGCGTGGTACAGTCATGTCGCACAGGCACGTAGCGTAGCCACGTGGCACAGTCACGCTGTACAGTCACGTGGTGGTCACGTGGCACAGTCGCGCGGTACAGTCACGTGGTAGTCACGTGGTGGTCGTGTGGCACAGTCACGTGGCACAGTCATATGGTACTGTCAGGTGACACAGTCACGTGGCACAATCACGCGGTACAGTCACGAGGTACAGTCACGTGACACAGTCGCGTGGTACAGTCACGTGGTACTGTCAACTGGCACAGTCATATGGTACTGTCACGTGGTACCGTCACGTGGCGCAATCACGTGGTACAGTCACGTGGCACAGTCACGATGTTGCTTCATTTGTGTGAGGAGAGAGGGGGGGCACACCGACACAATCACTGTCAGTGGGAGGGGTCATTGGGGGAGAGATTCTCGGCAACCCAAACACAAATAGGTCAATGTTGCAGGAGAGTAATAGACAAAGAAAAGAAAAGGGAGAGATAAGGACGACAGATGTCTGATAGGAAGGAAGGAGGAGAGATAAGGACGATAGATGTCTGATAGGAAGGAAGGAGGAGAGAAAAGGACGATGGATGTTTGATAGGAAAGAAGGAGGAGAGATAAGGACGACAGATGTCTGATAGGAAGGAAGGAGGAGAGAAAAGTACGATGGATGTTTGATAGGAAAGAAGGAGGAGAGATAAGGACAATACATGTTTGATAGGAAAGAAGGAGGAGAGATAAGGACGATAGATGTCTGATAGGAAAGAAGGAGGAGAGATAAGGACGATAGATGTCTGATGGGAAGGAAGGAGGAGAGACAAGGACGATAGATGTCTGATAGGAAGGAAGGAGGAGAGATAAGGACGATAGATGTCTGATAGGAAAGAAGGAGGAGAGATAAGGACGATAGATGTTTGATAGGAAGGAAGGAGGAGAGATAAGGACGATAGATGTTTGACAGAAAAGAAGGAGGGGAGATAAGGACGATAGATGTCTGATAGGAAGGAAGGAGGAGAGATAAGGACGATAGATGTCTGATAGGAAAGAAGGAGGAGAGATAAGGACGATAGATGTTTGATAGGAAGGAAGGAGGAGAGATAAGGACGATAGATGTTTGACAGAAAAGAAGGAGGGGAGATAAGGACGATAGATGTCTGATAGGAAGGAAGGAGGAGAGATAAGGACGATAGATGTTTGATAGAAAAGAAGGAGGAGAGATAAGGACGATAGATGTCTGATAGGAAGGAACGAGGAGAGATAAGGACGATAGTTATTTGATAGGAGGGTGATAAGGGGTGTGGGTGTGGTGGTGGCGTGTGGGGGTGGGGGGTGGAAAG